TCTATCTATCTATCTATCTATCTATCTATCTATCATCTATCTATCGTCTATCTATCTATATCTATATCTCTCAATCTCTCAATCTCTCAATCTGTCTATATCTATATCTATCTATCTATCTATCTATCTATCTATCTATCTATCTATCTATCTATCTATCTATCTATCTATCTATCTATCTAAAAGAGTTAACCATCTGTGTCCTCATCCAGATGTGAGTTGACAATTTCCAGCCACCCAACCAGCGTGGACTGATGGAAGTCAGTGTCTACCTCAACAAAAGAGATCGTCGCGAAGGACAATCCAGGAGGGTGGATTGGTGCTCTTACCTGGGTAGGGTTCCCAAACCACTTCCAAAGTTGCCGTGCAGGCAGGAACGCAGCAATTTTGGGCCGGTTCTCCACCGAGGGCAGCCTCTGGCGTTTAGCGAGTTCTTTCGTGGTGGGCAAGTGGATCCCTTCCCGTTTCTTACTCCGGTTCTTGTTCCCGCTCGGTTGTTGCTTTTGCGCTACCTGTTGCTGGGGTTGCTTTGGGTTTCGGGAATGTGAAGAAGACGGCGATTTCCCTGAGGCCTTGGTGGGCTTGGCGGGGAGGGTGGGCGGCGTGGAAGAGGCGCTGGGTTGGGTCTCTGCCCCCTCGTCTTCGGAGCTGCAGGAAGAGTCTTCGTCGGTGGTGGAAGAGGAGGAGGAGGAGGAAGAGGAGCTGGAGCTGGAGGAGGAAGTGGAGGAGGAGGAAGAGGAGGAGGAGGAGGAAGAAGAAGAAGAGGAGGAGGAGGAGCTACTGCTGCTGGAGGAAGAAGAGGAGGAGGAGTTTGAAGAGGAAATTGGGGTGGAGGCTCTCGAACTGGCCGAGCTGCTATCTTGAGCCCCACTTCCGTTCTTCTCCGTTTCTTCTTCTTCTCCTCCTTCCGAATCCGAACTGCTACCACTACTTTCCGACTCGTCCCTCGCAGGGGCCACTTCACCGTTGTCTTCTTGAGCCTTAGAAGAAGATGGAGGATCTCCAGAGTTCTCAAACTTGCCTCCAAAATTAGTAGAGGGCTCTCCCTCGGCAACCTTGCTCCGAGAAGGTTTCTGCTTGGGGTTCGAACAGGCCATGGCAGTGTAGCTGAGCCCTAAGATGTTCTTAGCTTCTCTCCTACTGGCCAGACTTGACTCCCCCAGCATCCTCATGGCCTCTTTGGTCTTCTTGGTCTTGGGAGACATGACCCCCTCGTGGTCCAGCTTGATCAAGATCTCACTGTCTGGGATCTTCCTCTGAGCTTTGGGAGCAGACCCAAATTCTTGTCCCTCCTCGGTGGATTTTCCTTTCTTCGATTTGACTTTCCCCGAGGAGCCGCCGGAAGGACCGTACGGTCCAGGGTAGGGTTCGTTCCCACGAACGCTGCCGAACACCGGTGTCTGGAAGGTGGCGGGAACCGAGCTATGGAGCTTGGCAGGAATCTTCCCCTTGCCTGCTTTGCTGTGATGCTTGTCTTCGGCAGGAGCTGGGGAAGTCCTGGAAGGATCCGACGGGATCTTTTTGGAAGCTTGTTTGCAAACCGGCATTTCCGAGCCAAGAGAAGAGGCGGACAGCATCTCCCCCACGATGGTCTGGTCTGCCAGGACGGATTCTTCTAGAAAGCAACAGAAAGTGCAAAATGTTAACCCTGAAACTGGTCAGAGGAAGGGTTAGGGTGAGGGTGAGGATACTTTACGGAATTTATTAACAGACAGACAGGTCCTTGGCAGCAAACCGGCAGAGACAAGCCTTGGCAGCAATCCAGCCTGCCAAGCTCACAATACTGTTCTCCAACATTAGTTAATGTGTTGACTTCTACAAAAGGAGCGTGTGCACAAGCATTCATTTTATAGTCTGGAGAGGAGCCGAATTACCACCAGCTGAGTGCAATTACCTCCTGTAATTCCGTAATTGGTCCTTACCGCCTATTAGGTCTCCGGTGCTGGGCATCTAAGAACAACTCCCTTGGCTCCTCCCCACTGGTCCAAGGCTCAGGCGCCTCCTGGTGGCCAACCCACCTCTCTGCGCCCTGCTCGGAGTCAGAACCCTGTCCAGGGTCCTCCACATCCTCCAAAGCCAACTCATAGGGCCCCTCGCTGTCGGAGTCTGGTGGTAGCTCCAACGGCTCCTGCTGGGCCACAACAGATACCCATGTATAAAAGGGCGCCGCATTGATTGCAATGCCACACCACCCATGGTGCTGATTTTTTTTTAATCACACACATTTCATAGATACCCCTGCCTAGGAGGGATTGTATGCTACACAAGGATTTATCACTCCTAAAGTTGGGAGAAATCATATCAATTTAAATCCAAAAGATTGACAAAGACCAAGAAACGTAAACCAGAAGGACTGGAGAACAGGGTAAAAAATGTTGAATCTCTCATTTACAAATGTATGTATATATGTAGTTGGAGGGACGTGGTGGCTCAGGGGCTAAGACGCTGAGCTTGTCAATCAGAAAGTTCAGCGGTTCGAATCCCTAGCGCCACGTAACGGAGTGAGCTCGCGTGACTTGTCTCAGCTTCTGCCAACCTAGCAGTTCGAAAGCATGTAAAAAATGCAAGTAGAAAAATAGGGACAACCTTTGGTGGGAAGGGAACAGCGTTCCGTGCACCTTCGGAAGTTGAGTCATGCCGGCCACATGACCACGGAGACGTCTTCGGACAGCGCTGGCTCTTGGGCTTTGAAACGGAGATGAGCATCGCCCCCTAGAGTCGGGAGCGACTGGCACAGATGTGCGAGGAGAACCTTTACCTTTTTTATATGTAGTTAGTTAGTTAGTACCTGTTTTTTGTTTCTTATTCGGCTTCCTTCCACGCCCTTTGCCTTTGGCTCCCGAGTCTTCTGATTCCACCCCATTGCCTTCGTCCTTACTGGATTTACGGCTGCGGCGTCTCATGCTCGGCACCAGGAGGGCAGGAGAGGGCTCAGCACCTGGCGGGGGTCAATTGCCAGATTGAGTGGGTGCTGAACACCCCCCCACACACTCCGCTTCCCACAAATGAGAAGTGGATCTTCACCCTGTTGGGTTCTCAGAAGTTGGGCTTTCAAAGGGAAGGAGGGAAGGAAGGAAGGAGGGAGGGAAAGAAGGGAAGGAAGAGAGGAAAGGAAGGAAGGAAAGGAAGGAAGGAAGGAAGGAAGGAAGGAGGGAAGGAAGGAGGGAAGGAAGGAACGAACAAAGGAAAGGAAGGAAGGAAGGAAAGGAAGGAATGGGAAGGAAGGAAGGAGGGAGGGAGGGAAGGAAGGGGAGGAAGAAAGGAAAGGAAGGAAAGGAAAGGAAGGAAAGGAAGGAAGGAAGGAAGGAAGGAGGGAAGGAAGGAAGGAATGAACAAAGGAAAGGAAGGAAGGAAAGAAAGGAATGAGGGAAGGAAGGAAGGAAGGAGGGAGGGAAAGAAGGGAAGCAAAAAAGGAAAGGAGGGAAGGAAAGGAGGGAGGGAAGGAAGGAAGGAGGGAAGGAACGAACGAACAAAGGAAAGTAAGAAAGGAAAGGAAGGAAGGAAGGGAAAAAGGAAGGAAGGAAAGAAAGGAAGGAGGGGAGGAAGGAAGGAAGGAAGGAAGAAAGGAGGGAAGGAAGGAAGGAAAGAAGGAAGAAAGGAGGGAAGGAAGGAAGGAAAGAAGGAGGGAGGGAAGGAAGGAAGGAAAGAAGGAAGGAGCCCACCTCATCTTGAGATACCCAAGGAGACTATTTCTCCAAGGATGTGGCAAAAAACCCCAACTCACATTGGATCTTGTAATCAGGGGGGAGAAGCCGGATGTGAGATAAAGGGATCCTCCCGGTGTCCCCATCGTCAAATTCCACAGTGATCAAATTGCCATCTTCCTCTTGATCATGGACACCTGTGGACCAAAGAGGGGAGCGTTTCAACTGGAGGAAAGAGGAAAAAGTGGGAGGGACCAGTAATCCTTCCTCCCCTCCTCTTGTTTTCCACACAATTGACTAGAAAGCTACTGAACATGAACGACAGAGAACTATATTCACTTATACAATTTTCCAAATCTCTTTTTAAGACACCTGAGGGCAGAAAATTCCATCAAGGAAGCACTGGCTGCTTGAAGGGGGGACGGGTCTGTCCATCCTGAATTAATGGCTCGGGTGCGTAATTGGTTTCACTCCTCCCAAACGTGGGAGAATTATGGGGGGGGGAGCAAAAGAACGAAGCACATTTCAATCTAAATGCCTTTGGAGATTCTCAATCCTGGATGTCTTCCCAAAACACGAAATGGACGTTGTTATTTCTTTCTTTGAAAATGTTTTGCTTCTCACTCAAGAACTGAAGAAGCTTCTTGGATGAGAACCGAAACATTTTTCAAGGAAAAAACCCCCCAAGAATGTCCATAATTCAATCTACTTTTTTTCAATCTACATTAGACAGAAAGTGGGAGGGGGGATTGTACAAGGAAATGGTTTCTCCTTGGGATCACACAGATCTCCACGGGTACCGGAGTGTTCTGACCTCAGCTTCCCCCAAACCCCTTTTATGAAACGAATGTGAATTCCTCTCCTTCACATCCAGCAAAGACCTGGCAAACAGTCTTTCAAAGGAATATTTACAACCACAGAACTTATCTAGCTTGGAAAGCTGCCAGGTCAATATTTTCCGAATGAGGAACTGTGCAAGGAAAGACTCTGGGCACAGAGTCTCTGGGATTCACGGACAGATCTTCACACTCCTGGAACGAATCTAACGACCGAATGAACGGATTCTTTCTTGCAAAAGCCCCCTCCCCTTTTCTCCCCTTGGAGGTACGGCTCCCAAGGAAAAACAAAATCCAGTTGCCTTTTGAAAACGCAGCTTTGGGACCCTGCATTCCATGTGTCCACCTTCATCCTGTCCCAGAAATGGATTGAGGCCGCGTGGACTTACCTCGGACAACCGTCCCTGGGTAGAGGCATCGGTACTGTTGACTCCAGTAGGCAGCTATTCGTGCGCCTTCCGGGAGGAATCGCACGGACGGGGGTTTCACATCGATGATCTGAATGGGGAGAAGATTCAAGAGCTGAAGGGTGGAAGAATCGGGGACAATCGCCAATGACAGCAGCAAAAGAGGCACCCCCACCAGCCACTCTCTGCATTAGAACATTCTCTAAGGAAGACAAGTTTGAATTGTAGTCAACCAATCCGAATAGAACTGGAAGGGACCTTGGAGATCCTCAAGTCCAACCCAGAGGTGGGTTCCTACCAGTTCGCACCAGTTCGATAGAACCGGTTCGTCAAATCTACCGAATTGGTTAGAAGAGGTTCCACCATTGGCCCGAAAAGCAGGCCACACCTACAAAAGAGGTTCCAAAAAATTTTGGAAACCCACCACTGACACACACACACACACAGAGAGAGAGAGAGAGAGAGAGAGAGAGAGAGAGAGAGAG